TGACACCCTGGAGGAACGCCCGAACTGCACCGAGCTGGATGACCAGGACGTAGAAGCAGCATGGAAAACACTACGTAATACAGTGTACAATACAGCTTTCGAATGTCTTGGGCCCTCCATCAAAAATAACACAAAGACTGGTTTGATGAGAACAGAGCCGAGATCATGCAGCTTCGTGAGGACAAGCATCGCGCTTACAAGGCTAATATAGATGATCCCACCTCCCCAGCCAAGAAAGACGCTCTGAGGAACGCTCGCAGCACAGTACAACTAAAGCTTCGGGATATGCAGGACTCCTGGCTGAATGCCAAAGCTGACGAGATCCAACGCTAAGCCGAATCTCATGACAGGCGTAGGAAAAACTTTTACTGTGGACTTGGGGAAGTACACGGGCCAAATCCATCAGGCTCATCCCCTCTCCTCAGTGATGACGGGTTAACATTCATCACAGAGAAGGAAAAGATACTCGACAGGTGGGCGGAACATTTCATTTGCGTTCTGAACCCCCTTCTACCATCAACGACGAAGCCATCAACCGTCTTCCCAGGTTCCGATCAACTAGTCACTTGATGCCGTTCCAACATTGGATGAGATCCAGAAAGCAATTAGTCTGTTGTCAACTGGCAAAGCACCTGGCCGGTAGCCCGATACTCCATCCCAGTTGAGATTTACAAAGAAGGGGACGTGGCTCTAGTCGAAAAACTCCATCATCTGCTTATGCGAGGATCGGCCTGACCAGTCACCTCCGCACTCACCGTTCAGATCATCCCCCTTCCCCCACGAAGATGAGACAGTGGTCATCGTCGTTACCGACGGACGGATAACTAAACTAGTATATGTGCGTTGGTACTTATCTTTTTCTTTATACAAATTTTGAGGTACATATGATTGTTGAATAAAAGTGGTAAAAATATGCAATTTTGTTAGAATCATGGCTAGTAACTCATTTAATGCTCTTTTAATATGTTCATCATATTATCTCGGAGTAATTCTAGTAAAACTCTCTATCACGGTTGGCAACTGTGTAACAAATACTTTGCAGGTTGTAAATATATTTAGCTCAAAATACCTAATTTGAGCAAATAAAGCTCAATAACTGTGTCTCCTGCATTAAAGCCACAACAGATTTGATGCTATCATACATTTCCTCACTAGTTAGGGGTATACCTTACCAAATATCACTATAAAGTTTATTCACCAAAAATGGTACCGACCACCCCCAGTGGCTCATTGACTTAATTTAATATATCCCCCAGTTTAACTATCAAAACAAATAATGCTACATATGTACAACAAAAGTAGAATACCATTTGTAATCAGTAGATATCCTGTCGTGTTGACCTCTCCAGCACTGTTTGAGGCCTTACACATATACCATCCACTGTCAGATTCTTCAGCATCGGCTATCTTCAACCTGACAGTATAATTTAAAAATGATTGTGTATGGTATCATTATTTGTTTAATAAATATCTATACTGTAAACAAAACATCATTTGCGTCATCTTTTATTGGCGATTTGTCAGTTTAAAACCAATCCACGTTGATTAATTTCCGCGACTTCGGAAACATCGTTCATGGTGATTAATTTGCGATCGAGTACATGTAGGTGCTTAAACTCGCAAATATTTACATCACGTAAATAAATGTTAACTTATAGCACAGTTGTTTCAAAACCTCGTTACAATTCACTGCTTTGTATTTTAAAAATGCTGTTGGATGCATTCTTCTTGTAGATAAGGCAATATCAAATAGCTTGACGGTAAAAAAATATTGGGTCACACATTTTTTAAACAACTTCTATGATGTAATGAATAGAATGTATTATTGAATATATCAGTCAAAAAATCTTATGTAGGAATGAAATAGATCATTTTTCTTGTTCTTTAAGCTAGTATTGATTGACTTATTTCTTACAGTTTAAAAGAGGAAACAAATCCCATCATTCTGTAAAATGAATTCTCATTTGTTTTATTTGTAATTTTCGACCTATATTTCTTCCAAACAAAGTTCCTTATCCCTATAATGATATGATCTCATCTTAACACAATGGCTTTATGAAAGAAATCTTATTCATAATTGAAATGCACACAGTTTTCGCATTCCTTGCAGCTTTTATAACTTGTATATTCTATAAAGACATTATTAGTCAATGGTCCAAATCGGAGTTGTCGCTCTTTTTTGAAATTAATTAACCTTGCGAACATTTTGGACATCAAATTTGAAGCAAAAATTTACCTGTACTTAATAAACATCACAGAGAGTAAATAGAGTTTGATGGAAGATGATATTATATACCTTGGTCCCCAGGGAGTGATTTTAGTGCTGATGCGGTCCTCATCGTCTCCAATAAGTACGTCATCTTTGTACCACCTGTAGCGTGGAATAGGACGTCCAGAAATTTCACAACGAATTCGAACATTTTCTCCCTTGTTTTTACTGATGTTTTTCATAGCAAAGTCAACGTTCAACTTTGGTTTTCCATTGCCTAAAGAGAATTTAACATTTTTATTATTTTACTCGAATGAAAAAAAATACGTTAAAGGATTTGTTGTGCAATTTCAAATACAACTTTTTCTAAACGATATTTCAGTGAGTTATACTTCCTGGTACAATTGACATTTCGGCTTGATTCAGAACTACAGCATCATGCCACCTTGACTCACGTAGGAACTAAGTTTGTATAACGCACTAATACTTTTGGATATATTATTAGACGTTATCTTGATATGATCAGATAGTTAAAGAAGATTTTTAGGGAATGTTCTTATATTTTTCTTAGTAAAAAATTGAACGGCTATTGTGCCCCCGCCCTACACCCGAGTGCCATGATTTTAACTAACTTGAATGTACACCACCTGAGAATGCTTCTATATAAATATGATCAATCAAACCTTTGTTATTCATGAGAAGAACATTTTAAAGAATGTTTCATATATATTTCTATGTAAGATTTTGATCGGCCATTGTGGCCACGCCCTTCACCCAGGGGTCATGATTTAAACAAACTTAAATTAACACTACCTCCGGATGTTTCACCATAAGTTTCATTTTTTCTTGCACAGTGGTTCTTCAGAAGAAGATCTTATAAACATGACACCCAATTTTCACTGTTTTTGAATTATCTTCTCTTTAATAAGGGCATGAGCCTTCACTTGAACAAACTTAATTCCTTTCACCCCTTCACTTCAGGATACTTTAGGGCAAGTTTGGTTGAAATTGGCCAACTTTTTCTGGAGAGGAAATCAAAAATGTGAAATTTTTACAGACAGACAGATGGACAGACAGCGGATAAAATGTGATCAGAAAAGCTCACTTGAGTTTTTAGCTTAAGCGAGCTAAAAATACCACAAAAATATCTTACCTTCATCATCGAACAGATCCCTTTAAAAAAAAGAAAAAGACGTATAACAATAGATCTGGGGAAGTACGGTTTAATGATATCGAAACATTTATATGATTGATTGATTGTATTTTGTTTAACGTCTCTCTCGAGGATTTTTCACTCATGTGGAGACGCCGCCACTTGCCGGTGGAGAGCTACAAATTTTGTCCGACACTCAGGACCATTGAGCAGTGAGGAATCTTTTTCGTGCCAGCACCTACTGCGACACGGGACCTCAGTTTATACGGTCTCATCCGAAGGACCAGTTTCCACGTCACACAGTGGGATTCGAAACTGCGACGTAAGGGTTGACTCCTTACTTCACGACTCAAGAGCAGACGATCTAACTACTGCGCCACGCGGGCCAAATCATTTATAGAGTACATAATTATGACTTTTAAGTTTTCACTGTATGCCTGGTATATATTTTTTGCACAAAAGGTTTTTGGGTGAGTACTAAACAGAGAAAATTGTATTGGTCTTACGTTTTATACAAAATTCACTTTTATTTGTAAATAAAATTTTGTATAAATACAAAACATATGTGATGGTTAATTTTCATACATTAATAATGAGGGTCAACCAATGTAGTAATGTGGTGGAACTGTGTTACAAGAGAGCAGTGTCATATTAATCAGTGGCTTTGTGAAAATCCTTTGAAAACTCTAGGATGAGAATGAGGACAAAAAGAAAATTCTTATTCCATATTCTTCAGGGAATCAATATATCTGATGAAAACAGAAAGGCCACAATAGTGTAAATCCTGTCAGATCCACCATCAAACTAAAGAACAATCATTCCCCTTTTTTGAAAAGCAAGATTTTATTTACTTGTATTGCAATTAGCTGTAGCTTCTTGTCAATATTTTTTTGGAATAGAAATAAATTTCAGTTATCATTTTTATTCTTAAAAAAGCTGTCATTTTTTCAAATCAGTATCATTTTTTTTAACTACATTTGAATTTTTTTCATATATCAAGTCTGTGTTCCCTCTTCAAATCACCAAAGGGCTCCAGAAAAGAAAGTAACATTGATAAGTCAACAACGGAGTGAATGATTTACAATGGACAGAGTGAACCATCATCAAAGTACCATGCATTTTCTAGTCAGTGTTTCCTTTAAATAGAACCGCCTAAATTGATAGAATTTCCCCCTAAACGCAATGCTAATTGCTCTATCTAACTCTCAGCTCTATTTAACAAGATAAACAAATTAGTACAAAGGGAATAAAGAAAACATGTAATTTTTATGTAGAAATTTATCTTTTCTTCTTATGAAGTTGAGCGTTGCACACACTTTTATGACTTGCACATCAAGAAGAAAGTGGCACTTCAAAAACATCATCAAGATTGGGTGTGTGTATAAAATTGCAGGTTCTCAATAGGTATAAGATAAAATACGTAGAGGAAACAGGTCCTTCTCTCAGCAGCCGTGTTCAAAATTTAACATATACAGGCAAAACGTTCGCTAAGGTCTTGAAATCAAATATTTGTTTGATAGTGAAACATTTTCACTTTCTCATCTTCCCAATAGTCTTTGGAAGGATTTGAACCTTAACTGAAGGTAAATGTCATTGATAATATCTTTAAACATTGGGTCATATGGGCTTACAATAACAATGATAAAACATTTATATGCACAAACTAACCATAGCTGCCTCCGAGGACGGCTGTTGTAGTTATAGGAATCATAACCCTCATCATTGCCAACAGATTCAGCACTGTCTTTGTCAGTTTGGCTTGATACTAAAAATAAACAAACGAATAATTTAAGGAGGATGGTGGCTTTCCCAAACAATATGGAGTTTGTCTTATCTGGGCCCTAATAATTACCGAAGGGCCCTACATTTATAAATGTACAATAAGGACTGCATAATAATGCCCCTAAAAAGGAGGTTCACTTTATTGTAATTACAAAGGGTTCCACCCTTTAATTCTTATGGAGGTTTTTGGTGCTAATTATCGCATACTTCAATATTTTACAACTTGGAATAAAAAAATGAATTTCCAGAGGCTGTCCCTCTTACGTACGATACCAGAAACGCCCCGTTTTTCATTATTGATGATGACGCCTTCCATTTCAAGACATGGCTTATGAACCCTTTCCTTTCTCATTTCTCAGAGGAACTTTGACCAATGAAGAGCATATATTTAACAAAGCAGAGCAAGACGCATTGTTTAAAATGCATTTATAATATATACTCGCCAACAGATAACATTGCCTTTTAGCTCCCATGCGCCAAGAACCAGAGACTGTTAGTCCCTATTGGAAACGTTTGTCCCACGTTTCCTGAAATCTGCTTAAATATGTAATTTCTTCTTATGGATATCCGATCCTCAGCCAGGAAGTTAATCGTTCTTTTCTCATATCTGTTCCATAATTTGTTTTCAAATTTTATATGTCTACAGGATCCTGTGGTTCAAAGTTGGGGAATTGTAAATTTGAATATTTTATAACTATAAAGTTAGTTTTCTACAAGGCCTTTTTTCGATATTTACTATCATTGAGTGAAATATATTTGGATATCCTACATTAGATTAAGAAGAGAGAGAGAATTCGAATCAGGTAGGAACCAGGTTTGAAGTACGGTCGGCCAAAACGGGGTTCTATTTTATTTAAAAAATTTTAACCTCATACGATTTTTCAATTAATAGGGGGAGGGACGCTTAAGATTGATTCACACTTCATAAAGCACCCAAAGTTTATGATTTATGACATGCTGAACTACTAATATCCTAAATTTGATCGACTTAAATTATCCTTAACTCTAAAGAAAATACTTTACAAAAACTTTTTTCACCTTTGCAATAAATCACTAACCTGTGTAGGAAAGCATCAGGAGTAGAAAAAACGCCGTCATGGACATGTGTGTCATCTTGAAATCTCTTTTAATGAAGAAAAGATAACAATCGTACGAAATGTAACATTAAAGAACAGTGAATTACCCTAACTTTGCACACATATTTTTTTCTAACATGAAACAAACAAAACAAAATCCCAATTACCACAACTGTTACATCACAAACAGTCTTAAAATGGTACGTATGATTATTTATACAGACATAAATAGTAACACTGTCTTCCTTAATTTTTGGGATTTATGTTACAACCATTGTTATATTAGTAATGTATTTTCCGCATGATTTGCAACTATTTCTTCTGCAACTGAACACATACCGGTATAAACAAAGAAAAGCTTATTTTTTTGTTTTAATAAGGTAAAGAAAGCTCAAACTATTATTCTCACCTCGGCTGATGATATCCTTTTGACTGCAGTACAGTTAAGCTGCTTGATTTAAAAAAAGAACTCAGATATTAGGGAAGTTATTATATCTTTTCCCCAGTCCTCATATCAAAACACTCTGTTATAGTGAAAAAATCGGTATCAGGTCAAGCATTTTAAACTTCTTGTCCCAATTAAGGACCTCCTTATTCTGTCCCAGAAAAACACAAACATTTTTAATATCTCTTGTGTCACTAAGACAATTAAAGAAGAGGGTACAGTTTGGGCTTCATTGTGCCCTAAAGTGTAATGTTCTTAAAAAGTTATGAAATTGGCTTTAACAATTGTTAAAAAGATGAATATGATAAATCATTACAGAATATGGCATAAAGGAGGGCCAATCTGGAAAATACGGCGTCATAAATTTGGTGCATTTCTAAATTAAATGCAGAAAAGCTCCAAAATGACTCATTTCTGTGATAATTTTCCTTTAGAAAATAATGTCTGCCACCGTCGCCCACTTTAATTTTTGGATATATCATGTACAATGCTATGAAAAATCACATATCTTAAAATCTTTCTGGGCGACGATGGCAGAGTATGTTTTCTGAAAGAAATTCCACTGAAAATTGATGTTTTCTGCAACTTTTTAAGAAAATTCGGGAAAATGCACAAGTTAATGACGTCACAATTGGCATTTGGGAGGTCATATGAGAAAAACGATTTAAGTATTCTTAGTGCAGGGAATTCCTGTGATTCAAAAAGAATTAATTTTTATTTTTTATATCACTTTCATATTTTAGAAAATATAGGGCTTAATTTGTATTGAAACTGTACCTTCTCCTTTAAAACTGGCACACAACATAATCAACATTTTTTTAATCATGCCTAAAAATTTCAATAAAATATTTCTATGGATAAAATTTCCTCTCAGGTTAACGATTCAAACAATTCAGCTGTCGACGAAACACTGACGACGACAAAACGTATCTCGTAGCTTTTGTGAATTTGTTCTTGAAACTTCTAACATCATTTGAACATACATTCGGCGCTGCATTTCATTTTGTGTTACATGTATTTACCAAGTTATACGTCTCAAATACTAGTGCTACAAAAATATTGTGGAGGTCATTCTTTTAAAAAGCAATTCTGCAATCCCGATCATAAACTTAACTGATCGAATTGTTTATCAACAGTCCTCACGTAGACCTATGACGTCCCACTCCTGTCTTTTCAATTTGTTTTTATTTAAATGGTCTATTCTCTTCTGTCGCATAACCAGTCAAGTCAACTTCAAGTGCCTTCTTCTAGGAATAAATCTGTTTCCCTTACTTATGTTCATTTTTTTTTTCATCGTCAACATCTCTTTTCTCTATATACAGGAGTTCTATTACGCTTAACATTGTGTTGTTTGAAAGTTTGGTGCTCCACATTACCGCTTAACGTTACCATTTTTGAAAATGTCCAATTCAAAGCGCTTTGGCACATATCGTCAAAATACCGGCATTTGTCATTAACGATGTCAAAGAATTAAATTTTAAAACACGAGACCATCTAAATTATAGATAAATTATGTAGATACAATTTTTGACATTATCTTGCCGCATAGCCTGATAACAAAGGAAACTGTATTGGCAGTGCTATTTGTATTATTTTAAAAAATTGTTAGCGCCGATCAAAGATATTAATTCATCATCCTTTAAATGCTATTATTACAAGCATATGACTTTAAAGGCCTAAAATATTTTGTAAGATATCTAAAAGATAACTTTCCTAACAGCATTCAAAATATATATATGATGTTTCAATAGTATTAAAACTATTCACAATGTTCGCGTTTTTCTTGGACAAACCTTATAAACAGTTTTTTCTGTAATTCAAGGAATTCCCCCCCCCCAAAAAAAAAATATATTGGTTTTTTTTTTCTGCGTCTGGGTTGTACTTTATTACTCTTCACTCTCTGAGTCAAAACCTTTAAAACCAGGTCAGATGATCCATCCAATGAAAGAGTTGATACTTTGCCAGCAGTAAAAGACATTGCTGCAGGTCAATATCCATGACACAAATTCATGTCATGATACTACTTTTTCTCTTTCAGCTACATCAGCAATTTCCCGAATCTCAGTAGCCTTCTTGTAATGATTATCGTCGTTTATATTATGACCCAAGTACTTAGTAAGACTCTTATATGAAATACAATCTCCTCTTTAAAGTTATATCCCAATAAGGAAGACAAAAGGCCCAGTTTTAAAAGTCACAGTTTTATTTCAATGTCAACCCTTCAATAGAGCAAAGAGACAAAAATTTTCAATGGGAAACTATTCCATAGAAATACATTTCTAGAGAACATATACTGAAAGGAAAAAGAAACGCATGGTAAACTTTTGAATTATATTAAAACTATTTTTTTCGAATATGTTTTCCAAATTTTATTTTCAAACAAAATCAATTCATCTTTGATCAGCAAGTTACCAAAATCTGTGTGACTTTGACTTATAATTCATGAGGTATGTTGATAACTTAAAATTTTTTAACTCAAACCTTTTCATCATATCCCTTGTGCATCAGTAACAACCTTGATTCTCCGTGTTATTGAGTTCATCATAGCATTTATCTTACTCATTGAATTATTATTCAACACTTCCGACGGTAGTTCTAATGGTTGAGAGTAGTTGTAACATTATAGAGTCAATAAATCCCATAATAAAAACCACGAATTTTCGATTTAGGATAGAATTTACAGAATTCAGCTTGTTTGGTACACGTAAATACCTTTAAGAAACTCTTGTCAAGACTGTCTACATTTTCCAAGTGTGAAAATGCTAAAACATTTTACATACGTCGCGTACGTGCGCTGGTGAGAGTAAAATCGACGTAAAGTTCGTGGACCAAATTAAAGTTTCTGTCAGTATTTAATTTACGAGGAAAATCATGATTATCATAGTCTGCTGTATGAATATCGGTTTCAGTGACTTTGACGATAACAAAGGCGGCATAATGAAAAGCCTTATCTTAGTGTGACGTTGTTACGCGCCAACATCACCGTCACGCTTTGTTGGAAACCTATTAAGTTACTCTTTGACAACCGAAAAAAATTTTTTTTGGTTGAAAAATTAAAAGCAAACTGAATAGCAACATGTCGTTGTCTATTAATTCACTAATAGGCAATTCAGTTACTAGACAATACGTGACTTCTGTCAGCCATACTATGGTTGCAAGAAATTTATACTGACTGCAAATATGCAAAAGCGATGTCTATTGATCTAATGTATCGTTTTGCACTACAATTTGAGATCACAGATTTGTCATCATCAATATACACGTGTTTTGCCGTTATATCACTTTTCCCATGTAACGCCATATATTTCATGGTTGAGTAGTTTTGACCAGCGATTTTAGTGCAAAGCAACCAAAATACACATCTAACCAATTATCATAATTTTCGGCCACACAGTCAAAATATTTTTGCATATTATGTTCTCATGCGTTTTTTTCTTTCAGTATAGAAAAGAACATGAAGTCTGTGGTATTACTACTGGTTTCAACTTATTTTGGTCAATAATAAAGTATACTTAAGTTGGACTTGTATAGCAATGCGATTAAATTTTTTATCTTGTGAATCTGTACTATAATCTTAATATGATAGACTGTTCTTATTGTCCCTCGCTTTCACGAAAGCGAGTGGACATTAAATCTCATTCGTCTGTCCGTCCGGCCGTCTGTCTGTCCGTCAGTCTGTCCGTCCGTCACAAAAACTTTAACCTTGCCCATAACTTTTGATTTAGTTGAGCTATGAGTTTCATATTTCATATGTGTATTCCTTGTGATAAGACCTTTCTTTGGGTACCACCAAATTTGACCTTTTGACCTTGACCTTGGAGTTTGACCAACTTTTACTAAAAAAAATTCAAACTTTTACTTTGGCCATAACTTTTGCATGGTAGGTACTAGGACTCTCATATTTCACATGTTTATTCTTTGGGACAAGACCTTTCATTGGTTACCAACAACTTTGACCTTTTGACCTTGACCTTGGAAATTTACGTACTTATGAAAAACTATAACTTTGACCATAATTTTTGAACGGTAAGGGCTATGGCTTTTATACTTCACATATGTTATTCCTGTAAGAAGACCTTTTATTGGATACCAAGAACTTTGACCTTTTGACCTTGACCTAGGCGTTTTAACTACTTTTTAAAAATTATAACATTGGTCACAATCTTTGAACGGTAGATACAAGGATTTTTATATTTCACATATGTATTCTTTGTGGCAAGACCATTCATTGGATACCAACAACTTTGACCTTTTGACTTTGACCTTGGAGATTTACGTACTTCTGGAAAAACTTCTCAGCTATGTTAAGGAAGGTCAGAGTTCACATTCATTGCACACTGTATTGGAACTTTGATTGTGACGTCATTGAAATTTGACAAGCCACAAAAATTAATTAAGGACATGATCATGCGTAAATAACAACTTGAATTTATTTATTTTATCAATTATTTGTAAAATCTTGTAAAATTACAATACTTGATAGCAATACAGTCGAGTTATAAAAGAAAGCCTTTCGTCAAATATGATGTCATCAGCCTTGACGTGACGCAGTACAGGTGATCTAGAGGCCTAGATTCACTGGTTAAATAATTACAAGAATGCTTTAATAAATATGATACCATTGCTAATTTTTAGACCTAATCATTAAAACTAAAAGAAAATAATTTATGAAATACAATTTGTATAGAATGTGAATTTATCTAGTAGCATTGGAGCTGCCCAGGGGCAAGGAATGTAGAGAATATCGCTAAAACGATAAGCGTATTCGTGATTTACATCAAAAGTGCAAGGGCATAGACTATTTTGTTTGAGCTGAAATTTGGAATATTTATTGCTTATATAGTGTTTATTTTGAAAAGTGCTGGGAGCTGATCCTGGTCTGCATAACATTATTTTTATTTATAACAGAACTTAAGCGATGTGAAAATTTTTAGCTATTATAAGCATTTACGGCAAAATTTTCAGTACTTCGTAAACAGCACAGACTAGCTCCCAGCACTTTTTCGGTAGAGGGAATAAACATCTTTTAATGTGTATCATTTTTTTTCATGAAAAACAAGCGTATGCCCTTGCA